AAGGCTGCGATGGCAGAAGTTTTAAGTACCCTAGCTGATTTTGCTTAAGCTTTAAGTATTACAAGCAAAGAAAACTAGTGGACCATACAAAATGGTGATTATCAAACTGTAGAGGTACAATTTTAAAAGAACAATTTTATGCATAATTAAAAAGACATTCAACTGCTTGAAGAACTAGCAATACCTTTAGCAAGGGTATGTAAAGCAGCAATAGCCGCTGAGACAGCGTAAAAAAATAAAGTTTGCAATAAGTTTTGGCTTACAAATTTGCCAAACAATGCAGATCGCTGGGCACGACGTTGAGCCGGGGCTCTTTGCCTTTGTCTGGGGGCTTGATTTTTGGCCAAAGTCGCCATCGGTGTGGACTGGAGACTCTCGAATCTCGACTTGAGACTTGCGACTTGCGATCGGGGACTTGCGACTTCTCGAGTGGCTGATGGAACTCTTTCCCTCGTGTGCGAGTGCCGACAATTATGGCTGGCCCGAATTGGGGATTCGATCGCACTCGACTCGTGCCACGCGTCCGCATTTACAAGCCCAACAAATTATGGGGATCCCCCGTCTGGGGGTCCATCAAATGTGGCTAAGCTTCCAATCCAATCTCCCCGCATCCCATCAGATCGACTGCCGGATGGAAGGCTCTAGAAGGAGGTCATACATAACTTGACTCCTAAGTTAACATTAATTCATTAAATAATTAAGTCCTGCTCAAGAAAAGTCATTTTGTATAGGCATAATTTCCAAATGGTATGTCACCAACAAAGATATAAATCGATTTTAAAACCTAATCTACATTACAATTGTAAATAACATTTCTGCAAGCAAATGTAATCTAAATAACTTACAAAAGTTTCAGAATTTCACTTCCTATAACAAAGCCAATTAATTTTCTTTGCTGCCAAATTATCTTCATACGTTTTCCCTAAAAAAAAAAAGGGGGGACAACCTACGATTTTTGCAACCTTTTCTAAATGATGTTTTTGTTTGTAACTAGGTTCTACTGTATGACTTGACTTCAATACATGCATATTCAAATCGAAAACAAAGACAAAAAGGGTTCGCTGATCTCCGAAATGGAGCAACAATTTTTTTTTTTTTGGTTGTGCTCTTGTTGTATTTATTGTAAAGTTAAAAAAGTTTGCTAACTTTTGCGGTTGGCGATTTATTTTCGGTGCTTTTTGTTGTTATTGCTGTGGCAGGTTCACAACGAACACGACCACAGTGAAAGAGAGGGGCGTAAAGGGGAGGCAAGGAGAGCAAGGAGAGCAAGGGAGATGGAGATAGAGCGGAGCAGTGGTAACGGGAAACTGTCCAAGTTATCCAGTTATCCATGTGCCTCACGCAGCAGTCGAAACGAGAGCAAAAGTAGCCACCGACATCGCTTGTTTCGGCGCATGTTGCCGCTGCACCGGAAGAAAATACTTTCGAAATTGGCAATATTTCCCTAGGGATGTGAGTGGGGTAAATAAAAAAAATGGTGCTTTCCAAACAAAATTGAATATTTATAACATTAAATCCTAATTTAAGTAAGTGATATCTACAAAAGTAAATATGGATAGCTTTTTGATAGAACCAATTAAATGATCTTTATTTTTTTTATCAATTAACTCGTTTTAGAAAATTTTTAAGAACAAATAAAATTCTTTTTTTTATTTCCAACCTTTTAAACAATAAACTCTTGATTATAATATTCATTATTATAAGAGAAATCATTATAAAAATAGGAATAAAAAAACTAATGAATAAAGCAATACTAGCATACATCTTTTGCACCCCTAATAATGTTTCTGATTTACTTAAATGCTAAGGAACTAAATCTGAATAATAAGCGTTCGATTTTTTTGTTCGCCATTTATTTTAAGATATATATTTTTTTCAGGTGTGCCTTGGTTGCTGCTTTTCGCTTTTTGTTTTCTTAGCAGTTTAGCGCCCGCTGTCCATGATTGTCCCCATGCCCCACTCAGGTAGCCCCTGCCCCTGCCACTGCCCCTACCACTGCCCCTCGGAGGAGTGTGTCCACGTACCAACATTGGCCTAATGTTGCACATTGTGTGCTGAGCCTGATCTTGTTTATTATGCAAGAAAGCTGCCAAAGTGAGCCAAAGCCGAGCGACACAGCGATGTACGAGTGGCGAAGCCGAAACGGCAACAATCGCAGAAAGTAAATTTACAAAAATTTCAATTGAACAAAGTGCTGAAGACTCTTGACCAGCGACAAGAGAAATGGGAAGTTATGGGGACATGACCGGGTTGTGTCGAAAGTATCTCCATGATCACAAAAAACGTTGCAAAAATTGTAGATTCCAAAGAGTTCCTACTTGAATAACACTTTAATACGGTTCAAGTCTGTTGAACACTTCAAAGCGCGCTCAAAAGGAATCAAAAACAATAGCATGTATTATATATTATAAATAAATGAAAAGAAATGGCTTTTATAAATTTAAGAGCTAAAAACAACCAGCAATATCTTACTTTTATTAATGTGTTTTAAATAAACGTAAATATTTTAAAATATATTGACTTTATTAAAACATGGCAATAATAATTAACACATTACAAAATCTTGTAAATGAACAAAAAATATATAAATGATTGAACATATTTAAATGAGATTTGGTCGTTTTTTCTGTTTTTTAAACTTAAGCCTTATTAATAATTGAACAAGTAAAAAAGGGGAATCTTATGCAAATTGAAAGGTTCAGTAATTAACCTTAATATAAATGCCATTGTATTCCAGACAACGTTTTTTATTTATACTTAAATTCAGAATTATTTTGTAGAATTATACATAACTGGTTATCTATTGTTCCAATCTAAAAGAGAGTGACAAATGTAAAACCACATTTTAAATCACGTTCAAAATAATTTTTATTTTTTACCCTTTTTTTTTTTTTGTTTATATATCAAAGTGATTATTTTAAATTTGAAAACACATTTTTTTCCAATTAAACATTTGTAATGTTTTGTTTTGGGCGTTGTTTTGATTTTAAATTTCAGAAAAGGTTGCTATCACTTTCACATGTTCACGACGCTCTGTCCATATAAAGTGGCTAATTTTTGGGCCTGTATCATCATCACTCTTGTGTGTATTACGCATACCTTTTGCTAATTTATTGTTTCACTAGCTGGATGCACCTTGTTTTTATATTAACGATCGATCGGCAAAATAAACCCAAAAAAAATCACATCGTTATATTTACTGATTAAAATCACATTTAATGGCAGTGCATGCCAGTTACCGTTAGTCGTGTTATGCGATATATTTAACGATATTATTCGGGAATTCTTCTATGTTGTTCGAAAAGAACCGCCGTTCGGAAAAGTGGAGCGATTTAAATTGCTCCACACAGCGCGCACCTTGAATTGCGACTGATCGCTGGGAATCGGGGATCTGATAAACCACAGGCGGTACGCTGCGGAATTGAACGGGGAACGCAGTGGAATGGAACTGAGAACAAGTGGGATGGCACGAAAGCGGCGGCACAGTCGCAAAGTGGGCGGCACTACTGCGCGTAGGCCTAAATGTTAATGCAATTTGCCTTATGCGCATATGGAACAACGCGATCGGGCTCTTAAGTTGGTGTACGGGGGAGGTGTGGAGATGGTAGGGTGTTTGAGATGGAGGAGTGGAGGCAACAAAAACAACAACAGCACCAACAACAACACCAACTACCGACTGACGCTGTTCTTGTGTGACATATGGAACTGGGTCGGGTCAAAAGGTAAGTGCCTAAAATTCTGTTTAATGCCGCCAAGCTGCCAACTTGCGGTCATTATGGGGTCCCTTTTTCACTCCACTGGATGGATGGATGATGCCGAAAGTTGGGTAACCGACGGGGTAACCCCAATAAAATAAAAGCCATTAATGAAGAAGGTGTGCAAGGAACACTTCAGTGGCAAACAAGATTCAAAGGCACTCCTTCAACATAACATTAGTTATGTCAGGGATCTAATTTATGCTTAAAACTATTTTAAATACCAAGTTAAAAGAATTTCAGTAACCGATTTAAAAGACTTGTTTGCACAAACTTTTGTTCGGACAAATAAATTAAGTGTTTTTTTTTAATATTATATTTTATTTTGTATAAATATTATGTTTTACAATTTTAGGCAACCCAAAGTAGTGATCAAGTTTATTTCTAAGTATAACCAAAAAATGCCTAAAATAATGGTTTGTATTTTATGATACACTTAAAAAATAGATTTTTGGTTCAAGCTTAACCTGTACTAGTAGTGGTCAAAAGTTAGAATGTCATCATTGAATGGTTCATAAAATTTTCAATTAAACGGCATTCACAGCCCAAAATGATAAAATGTTGAAAATATTTGAAAACTATTTTAAGGTTAAATGGTATACTTTAAAAAAAAAGTGCCAATATTGGTAACAAAAGTTATTTTAATGACAGTTTTAATCATTAACAGTCAGTCTTTAAGCTGAGCATTTGGCTAAGTTATCATGATAAATCCCTTCAAAACTATTTTTTTTCTCAAAACTCTAAGATAGCAAATAACACACATGGTCCTTCAAATAAATGAAAATGCTCAAGGTAACTGGAAAAAATGCTTCTAAGGTATCAGCATTTACAGATCCAACCTTACTTTAATTCCGCCACTCGATCATCCTTCAGTCCGACCGGACTTCCTCCCCCTGAAATGTATATAGACTCGAAAATATATGGAGGCCCTTGTGTGGGTTCTGGTTCTTTCATGGGCAAGGTCGTCTTTCTTCCATCGAGATGGTTGCGGTTCAGTGGGATCGGAAGTGTTTTACTGCCACCGCTTGGGGGCTTTTGGGTAATCCAAAGCCAAGTCCAAGTCAGCGTTGCAGAACTGCAGTCAAAAGAGATCAGAAGTCGGCCAGGGAGTTATAACTTCGTTGGAATCAGGTCATTCGCGGTTATGATCGCGCCTTACCCCCATTAGCTATTCTTTATCGGAGATGTATTGCGACGCATGCGAGCGGAATATGCATATGATTAAGCCAAAATAAATCAGCTTACCTCAATCGCTGGATCCAGCCTCCATCAGAACAGGTTCAATTTTCAAATAATTTTATTTTTGTATACTTTTGCACTTTTTGTTTGGGATTCTTTCGGCTGCACCATAAACAAAATTATTTAATTTGCATATTAGAAATTTTTGTTTCTCTCGCTTGGCTTTGTTTTATTATTATTATTTGTTGCTGCTGCTGTTGTTGTATATCATAATTCACTGCTGTATATATAGATATTCTATAGGTGTGCTTAGCAAATTCACAAAAACAAAAAGGAGTAAAAAAAAGGAGCAATTAACAGCTATTAAATAAGTAAATCTCAGCTCACTGGCGAAGAATGTGGCCACAAAAAAAATGTGAATTACCCGGTATAAATAAAGTGATATATTTGATCAATTCATAAGCCACTTCACTTCACACCCGCTCAGTTTTTGAACGATTCTTTTGCCCTTTTGGCCGGGCTAAAAGCGAGAAGAGGAAATTCGTCAGCTCTGGCCGAAAGCGAAACACTGACTGACTGGCTGATAAAAGCAGACCCGTCTGGAAGCGAACCGGGCCGAAAAATCGCAGACGAAGAAAACCGATCCCCAAACGATCGTGGTCGAAACGACTGAAAGGCAGTGGAACGGGCCAAGTTAGTGGAAACGAAACACGGCTCAAACTTCGGAGGGGGCGACTTGGGGGAAAAATATGCTAATCATAGGCCTCGGAATTATTAAGCCCTGGATTAGTCAGTGGGCGTTCGAAAAAGGCAGCAGAAATAAGTCGGGCACTTGAAGTGCAGCAATTGCAGCCATAAATGCTCATTAAAGGCCAGCACATAAATTGGAGGCCTAAAAGAGAACTATTGTTCACAATCTCGGTGATTTTATTCAAATAGCTGTTAATGCTATAAGGTCCTGAAATTCCTATAAACACTTATGTCAAAATAAAAACATATATTTATATATATATAAAGAGCTTAAAATGTAACTCACAAAAAGTAAACAATTTATAAGGATATACTTAGAAATTGTCTAGGGATTTATTATTGTTATCTTATTATTATTAAAAACGTGTATTGAGTATTTCAATTTTAATTAACATTTAATCTTTATTTTATTGGTTCAATGCTTCTATAGGAAATTAAAAATTATATTTTACTTCCTGAGAATTAAATTTTGGCTGATTAATATCACTCAACTTCCACTCGCTCCAGTTTAAATTGATATAATTTTGATTGGTTTTATTCTATAATATGTATGCTCCATGCAAAGCGTTCAGACGGAAGTTGTAAAATGCTAAAACAAAATACTATACATAACTAGAGAAAGAAAATAAAACAAACCAATAATCGAAATCATTAGACAAAGGCAAACTGAGGCAATGGTTGCAATGAGTCCGACAACAATAACAAGGAATAATACTTGCCGATCGAATCTAATTGGTGGAGCGGTAGTGGCGGGGTATGGGGAATTGTGGGTGGGAGGGGGGCGGTAATAGGTGGTGCAGGAGGGGGAGTAGGAGGAGGGGGATCGGGCAACTCAGTGGAGTCCATTGGGTGCGGCGCCAACGCTAAACATAACGGCACAATTATAGTCGCCGTCAGATATGTGCACACATATATCTCAACACTTCAAAAAAAAATCATACGCATTAAAAAGGAAGTCTTATATCTCAGGAAATATTAAAACTTTCTATAACAATTTTTTTTGTTAATACAAACAAAAACAAGCTTATGTTTCAATTTACATTTAATAAGAGGATAGGAATTCCTCTAATTTAAAGATTTTTTAACAAAAGAAAATTATGTTAACTAAGTTTGAAAATGGGTAAAATAAATAATATGGCTAAACAAAAACAACTGCTTTCGTATTTAATAATTATAATGTTATACACACGAACATATATTCATATTTAGACCAATACAATTTTTGACATTTTGTCACTTCATATTCATTACATTCTGAATTATTTTTAATATTTTAAAAATCTCAATAAATAGTTAAAAAATAAATAACGATATTAAAATGATAATAGAAAATGAAATGTATTCCTTATTTTCCCTGTGTAGACATACAATTTTAAAAAATTAACCTTACATTCAGAGTTGCATAATTTCATTAGCAATCAAAAAAACTAAAAAGGCTAATTACTTTTAAATGATGTATAGAAAATATGAATATATGAAAAATGTTAAAAACTGATGGAACATTGAATTTTTTCATGTGCACTTCAACGGTAACAGTCCGCATATGTATATTATAATTTTACAATTTTTTTCCATACCATTTTTCTATCTTTTTTGCCACATTCTCCAAGGACAAACAACATTTTAGTGAGCGACGACGTCGCCGGCGGCTAACGGCACAAACCCATTCCAAGATTGATCTACAAAATACGAAACTTCAGCTCCGAGTTTTTCGCGTTGCCGACTTTCCTTTTTCTAACCTACGTATGGCGAGTGTGTGAGTGTGAGTGTGTATCTGTGTTAGCCAAGTGTGCGGGCGCGCACTAAAACAATTACAGAAACCGAAACAAAAACACAAACTAAACTTAAAAATAAGGCAGTAAAAAATTAAAATCCAGCTCCGCGAAGAAAAGGTGTGGCAACGTTCTGTTTCTGTGTGTGGTTACTAGACGATTGCTTTTGCCATTGCTGTGGCTATTACTATTACTATTACTATAACTATAACTATTACACTTACCGTTACTGTTACAATTTCAAAAGCCGCCAGACCAAATGGCATAAATAAAAAAAAAATGTATTTGAGTTGGCTTTTTTATTAACTTGAAGGCAAAACCTCAGAAATTCAGTAGCGCTGTTAAAAGCTTTATGTACCTAAAGCATTTAAAAGTTATCTCAATATTTTACAAATTTGATTAATTAAGACATTAAGTAGCCATCAATTTAGAAAGAAATATACATTTGAAATGAGTAAGACAAACTCTTTGATTATTGACTACATGAAGCAGTTAAATGTGTTTTCGTGAAAGATTTTTAATCGGATAAACTTTTGTTATGTAATAAATGCAAAATTTATGTACTTTTTTAGGTTTAATATTTAACAATAACAATATGTAATTCATTTTTAACATATTATTAAATTATAAGATTTATAATAAATTGTTTTATTAATATTACACAATCTCTAGGAAAAGTTTATCCCGGTTGTAAATCCATTTTAATAAGGCATATCGATTTAAAATTTAGTTGCTTATTAATATGTCATTAATATTAAAGTATTTTTTATAATACAGGAAATGTAGAGAGATAATCAAACATTAAGAAACTAACACTGAATATCCTCCCCAACCCAAGCCAACTTCTTATAGTTTGCCAATAAATTCAATCAGAGTTCGGCTCGTCATTGATTTTGGCCGACTAATTTATGCTCACCGAAGCGAAATCCTTTTTGGCCATTAAATTTTGGCGCTTGCCAAATCGCTTAGCAATTTATTCAAAGCGTCGACGACAATTCACTTTTCGGATATGGATATGGATTCTTGGGACTGGAATTGGAATCGGAATCACAATCGGGGCGTTTTTTCAGCGGGTTTACGGTGGCTTTTGCGCAATGCCAAAATTTATTGCCAGCCACTTACCCGACAGCAAGGTCAGAACACTTAGAAGTGCTGCGATTGGTGGTTCTGGTTGTTCTGTTAGTTCTGTTAGTTCTGTGAGTTCTGGTGGTGCCACCGCAGCCATGGTTCCAGGAGTGGGGCATGGGCATGGGCATGCAACAGGTCGCAACGACGCCCGACCAGGAGCAGCTCCAATGAGTCAGCGGCAGACCGACTTTGATTTGTGGCACTCCGGGGCGCTTATAAATCAGCCAGCAACTGCACATTCCCAAGGCCGCCACCGCCACCGCCATCGTCATCGTCATCGCCACACAACCCCAACAAAAGGCTACGGACCCACCCGTAACCCAAGCCCACACACTGAGAAAAAATTGTTGGGTATTCTTCTCTTACTCAAAAATCTCTAAGGATTTTAAATCTTTTTTTTGAGTTCTGATCATATGGCAGTTTTCCTTACAGCGTTGTCTCTCTTAGCCTTCAATTTTAAAAATTAATTGAAATTAATGTTAGGGACATACAACATTTTTAGACGGTATTCTCTGCTTTGTAATTCGATTCCTGTTTAATCTACTGTGCATCTTGTCTGAGTTGACAAAGTTATTTTTTTGCCTCATTTGCAAAAATTATTGTTTACCAGATATAGAGATGAGTCTTAAGGTTTAAATAACAAAAAAGCATTTCTTGGGCAGGACAAACAATGTAACTGATTATGGTTTTTATAAAAGTTTTTTGTTAAGACAGATAATTCCATAAAAATAACATTTTCAAAATAATGTGTATATAAGTGCAGTAAAGTAAGAAAAGGGATCTAAAATGTATAAAATATTTCAATTAATTTATAATAAAATTATATTCTAAGTGGTCTTAAACATTCTTGGTTTCAGTGCACTTTACAATCTTTGCTCTTGATATGATTCAGAATTTTTGGTCGAATTAAGAATGAGTATGACAATATAAAATTGCGATATTTTTTGCGTGTGCATAAAGACCCGTGGAAAACCCGCGCAAAGGTCAAGTCAAGTGAAATTGTCCGGGGACAAAAGCGAGAAAGCAGGCGACGGAGGCGAACAGAGAAGAAATTATGTCAAAATTTGAATTAGCAGCTGGGAAAATAAAGTGGCGCGGACAAGACAATGCCGGGGCATAAATTAATTTTTCCTATCAGCTGCAGCCGCGGAAAAGTGCATTCGCTTTTCACTTTCGTGTCGAGGTTTGAATTGGATTGGATTGGATGGGATTGGTCGGGGTTTCAGTTGGTTCAGTTTCCAGCTGTTCGCGAGAATTATTTCAGCGCGATAAAGACGGTTGGACAGAAGCGGTTTCCCTTTTTGCGCTGCGGTTTCGCCCTTGGCGTGCGGTGAAAATGCATTTTCCCAGCGACGCCGAAGAATGGGGAAAACTGCATTAGAAATGAGGAAAAACAGTCGCCCGTGAAAATTGGTTTTCGGTTGGTTTTTCCCCACTTCAGATTCCATTTTGCTTTTTCGTGCAATCTTAAAGATATTTACTGGTTTTTCCTGATTTCATTTTACCTTAAGATTTGATCGTTTGACACAATAAATTATTCAATGCATTTTGCAGACGTTTCAACTACAAACATTATTAAATTATTTAGCCCTTATAATTTAAAATTTACCGCCATTCCATCTCTAAATTAATCGAATTACATTTTCGATATACGTTAAGTAAATGTAACGGTATTTTTTAGTTCATTTTTTTAATCAAATTAAAATGAAGCGGAAATATGCGACTTACACCTTAAGAAAAGAATGAATTGCGTCTGAAAATCAATTAACTTGTAATTTTTGTTGATAATCCAAGCAAAAACTGACAAAAAACTCAAATTTCAATGCTAAATGCATTAATATAACTCTTTATCTACTAGCTTTATAAGTCAAAAGCTGGCATCACTGGTCAGCTGATCTTTGGATCTTCAAGATAACTATTAATTACATTCCCATTGTTATAAAAATTATTTACAAAATCTCTGACAATTTAGAAATTGGCCTGACTTGTTTTGTGAAAAGAGTAACAAGAAAATAAGATCCCCTATTCGTTATTTAAGTTTCCTACGAAAATGAGCTCGAAACCTCCGGTTTATTACAATGCGGATGCAGTGCGTCGATTTCTTACCTGGCCGCTGGTCAATAATGCTGTGGAAACGGCACTCACGGCAGTAGTTAAGCAGCACCGCTGTCAGGAATTATCTGCACAGTCCTTTGCCATCCAACCGAAAAGGAGTTTCACCGCCTGCGGTGATCATTCTGGAAAGGTTCTGCTCACCATGCCTGCATTTGTGGGAAACTATAGGCTGGCATCGCCGGACTTCTCTGGGGAACTGGCCAATCACCGCTCCACACTGGCCTGCAAGCTGGTGACCTCGTTCAGGGATAATCCCGAGCGGATTCCGCCGTTGCCCAGCATCCATGCCCATGTCCTGCTGTTCGACAACCAAACCGGTCAACTAACTGCCATAATGGAGGGCACGGATCTGACCACCTGGCGCACTGCATCCGCTTCAGTGGTGGCCACCAAGCAGCTGTACTTCCGGCGATTTGGAGTCCAGGCGGAGATGGAAATGCCCATCAATGTGGCCATCGTGGGTTGTGGCGTACAAGGGCAGATCCACGCCGCCGCCTTTTGTGCGAACTTTCGGGTGAGGAAACTCAATCTGTACAATCGAACGGAGGCAAAAGCCCAGGAATTGTCGGATCAACTGCAGCGCGAACTGGGAACCGAAAGCGGAACGCAAATTCTGGTGTGCCGGAGTGCCAATGAAGCTTGCCAGGATGCCGACGTCATCTGTATTGCCACGTACTCCAAGGAACCGCTCATTAACATTAAAGATCTGAAAAGCAATCAAGGCGTTCACATTAATGGTAATTAAATATTATTATTCAATCAATCAACTACTTACCTTCCAAATTCAGCTGTTGGAGCTGGCGTTGTTCACTTTTCGGAGGTATCTTCCGATATTTACCACCAGGCTAAGGTCTATGTGGATTGCTATGCTAATGCCGAGGCCGAATTGAAAGGTTTTCCAGTCCCGATCACTGCGGAACTGGGAGCCATCCTCCTCGAGGGAAATTATCCCAATAAAGCAGACATCTCCGTCTTTCAATCAATGGGTAAGTTTTTGATTGATTAATCAGCATTTCAGAATTATAGCTATCTCTGTCTTTTCCAAAATTTAATAACAATTATTTAAAAGACCAAAAATGTTATAACAAAAAATATTGCTCTTACATCTTGTTACATTTCATAATCAATATTACTTATGAAACTCTTGTAACTTTATCCACTGTACCTCTAATTTATAGTTATTATTTTTACAGGCATGGCTTCGGAAGATGCCTGTGTGGCCCAGGCGGTGCATGATGCCATCCTCTCCAGCGCCGGTGACTCCTGATGGCCAAACCAAACCACCAACTTTTAAACCTTTCATGTGTATATATTGTGTATATAAAAAAGCAATTGGAAACATAACAATCGGTTCGCCTACAAACTACAACAAACCCGGAAAGCCGGCGACGTCGACGTCTTCGTCGTCGTCGTCACTTCCAGATCACAGTCACATTCGTGTCCTTCTCGATGTCCCGCTCGATGGTGCAGGGCGAGAGGCCCGTCTTGCAGCAGATCTCGTCGAAGCTGATCAGTCCCGTGTACATCTTCTGCCGCCCGGAAGGCACTGAGCCCGTGAACACCGGATACTTGTGAATGCAGCGGATGAAGCGGTGCTGCAGGCCGAAGATCACCATGCGCCGCTCATCGATGTTGTGGTGCTGCGGGCACAATCGTTGGCAAATGGCCCGCAGGGTGACGCCGTGCGTCATCGAGGCGTAGAACTGGAAGATGCGCTGCACACTGGGCAGCGTTTTGTCCGGGCGCAGGGCCACATACTTGCGGCAGGCTCCGCTTAGCGCCGCACTCTGGATGAGATGCTTCAGGTTCTGGGTCATGTACACGTTGCTGTACTTGAGGATGGGCAGCAGCTGGACGACGCCGTAATAGACCAGATTCTGGATGCACGACTTCACCAGATCTGTTTCCACATCCGCCTCGGCGGCTATACGGGCAACATGATTGATTCCGTTAATGTAGGGCAGAATCTGGGCGGGAAAAACAGCACAATTAATTGGGGCTATATAATATATACTATGTAAAGTGGGAAAAGGCTAGCCTTAGCTCTATAACTAGGGCCTTGCTTTGAGAAATCTTAGAGCAGACTATTATTTCCAGACTGTACAGCCTTTTAAGCCCGCACCTGTTGCGTGGTCAAGTCCCAGTTGTCCAGTGGGGCATCTCGCAGGTTGGCCAGCAGCAGCGGCACCATGTGATCCTTGACCGGCGGCGGATCCGGCTTGTGCATGACGATCTTCAGGTAGATGGTATTGTCGCCCTCCACAATGGTGGCCACCTTGCGCTCGTTGAGATCGCGCAGCACCGTCTCGAAGATGTTCTGCAGCCGGCGCTTGTCGTCCTCGCGGGAGAGGAAGCAGGACTCCTCCTCCATCATGATGAGGTACTCGGACAGCTTCTTGACCACCGGCTCGTACTGGACACTGCGCGCCCGCGAATCGCAGACGAAGCACAGGTTGAACAGGAAGGCGTTGCGGGCGTACTTCTGCTGATCCTGGATGCCCACCGGATAGCCGACGATCTTCACGTCCATCGCGTTGACGGTGAGGATGCAGCGCTGCAGGTGCTGCTTGGGTATGATGTACACATTGATGGCGTCGAACACGTCCTTGGATATATAGTTATCGGGAACCTATGGCGTTTTATTCAGACAATGCTTATCACGATTGGACTGGCTGGCAATGTGTCATGGGAACCGGCTCACCTGGCAGCTTATCTTGCAGCCCGCCGTCGCATGGAATTCGCTGAGGAAGATGCATCGGATCTTGCCCTCCGTGCTGCCATGAGCCCCTCCTCCCGATCCACCTGCTCCTACTCCTGCTCCTGCTCCTGCACCATTGGTAGCCACGCCCGCCGTTGCCGTCGCCGTCGGCGCCTCGTTTGTGTGGGAGTGCATGCTGTCCGCTCGGTCCCAGTATCACCGCATCCGCATCCGCAGCTCCGGCATCCGTGTCCAAGTCCAAAGGCACCGCTAAAGATGGGGAAACGTCGATGCGACTGGTTGGAAACTTGGATGAGATAGCCGACCTTCCAACCGAAATCTCTCACAAAAACACACTAAAATATACCACAGTGTTTAGTATTACTCTTTTTTTACACATCAGTGCTGACAGGTGTTGAGTTCCCGCATAAGCTATATTTTAAATAAAAAACGGCCAATTAGGTTAAAAACTAAAAAATAAATAAACACTGAACAAATATATATGTTTATTATGTGATGGTAATCAAAATTCCAAAATAAAACAAAATTTTAAGCATAATTGTAATTTACAAAAATTGTATCAAGCACCACAACTTATGTATGTCAAAATTTTTATTTACGAATATAACAAATGAAATGTGCTTGCCTCAAATAGACTAAACTGGCACCACTATTAAACATTAAGCTCCGTTTATAAATCTTAGAATGAATTTTAACTCAATAATTAAGGAAACATTCTTTTAACCACTGTAATTAATACTCACTTACATTGAATGGAAGTTTTGTACTTTTTGTTGTGTAAATTTATTAAGCTGTTAGGGTCTGTTATACTTAATAATAGGTATTCTTTTTTAATATTTTACATTTATAGTTTTTTAGCTCACACAATCAATACGGACACTTACCGTTATATTTTTCGTTGTGGTTTTTTATAGCGCCCGTTATGCGGTCACACTTATTGTCGGCGACTCAAAATGGAAACGTGAGGATTTTGTTTACTATATTATTAAACAATAAATAATAGTTTGAACATTTATATTAAACTCTGCAGGATTAATCCCACATTCTCGTACCTCACCAATTTGGAGGTAATGCAGATTCTGCAGAAGATCAAGAGCACCAAAAAGAAGTTTGGCATGCGCAACTTGGCCACGGTTACCTATGAGGTATGTTTATTTTTCCGGATTATACACCTGATTGATGGTAAATTAACCATGAGTTGCAATCCACAGGCGCTACAGTATCTGGAGGAGTCGCCCTGCAAAACCCAGTCCCGCGAGAACATCGTCAACTATGTGAAAGACCTTGCTTCGTATCGCCTTAAGTCCCACGAGATCCTGCAAATGATCAACGATCCGCCGACAAGTGCCCTCCACACGCAGCTGGTGAGTATTAGCTACAGAATACAACCTGAATACCATGTAGAGTAGGGTCTCACAGAGATCCCTGAATATGAATTTAGCTCTGTTTTCAATTGATTGCTTTGGGTCAGGCACAATTTTCATTACAATTTTATAAACCTTTCCAGCTTATCGACGACAACAAGGCTCCACTTACCGATGAGGAGAACGAGAAGATCATCCAGCTGAGCTACAAGCACTTTCATGGAGCAGAATCTAAGGAGGCAGCTAAGGAGACTCCAGTGGAAAAACCTGCAGAGGCAACTGCAAAGCCAGCTGGAAAACAATCTGGAAAGCGTGCTGGCCAGGCCAAAGAAGCAGAAAAGGTAGCTGCGCTTAAAGCCACTGCAGCGGTAGAAGCCACTGCAGCGGTAGAAGCCACTGCAGCGGTAGAAGCCACTGCAGCAGTGGAAGCCACTGCAGCAGTGGAAGCCACTGCAGCGGTAGAAGCCACTCCAGCACCAGAGACTATCCCACCAGCCGATGTTCCCTCGACATCTGAAATCACTCCAGAAGTCACATCCAACACAGCACAAGAAGCAGAAAAACCCGGGGAGCAGCCAACGAAATAACCCATGAGCTTATTACGTTAAACGTTTCATATTTTTATGTTTGATGTAGCGTATAAAGTAAGCTAAAAAATTTATTAAATTATTTATGTTCGCTTCTGGTCGCCCAAATCCTCAATGACGTCCTCGTCGATTTCGGCCCACTTTTCGGGTATGACATCAAACAAATCATCCTTGACGTCGCCCTGAATGACGATCTCATCTTCTCCGGTCACCGAAGAGCCGCAGGCGAACTTGGTGCCAAAGAACTTGGCGGCCACTTTGAGATCAATGTCTGAAAAGGATAAAAACGATTCTTAGCAAAATGGAACTCTGTTCTCTTCGATCTTTTATCTGTCCTAAATATTCGAAATCAATCCCAGTACATAAATAAACTAAAATTGTTGCAATTTTTATGAAAATAAAATAAGATTAATGTTCAAGCAAGAGCTGGTTGTTTTTAAAGAAGCAGACATCTCTATCTTAAATGTTTTTATGATTATAGCCATATTAAGATGTAAATGACTGTACCCAATGATTTATATTAAAATAATTAAATGGTAATGATGGGTTAGAAAGATCTCAGTGACTACTTAAGAGACTGATGCAAGACAGCTCCTGTTTCATTATGTTCTGAGTTTTAAATGAAGATAAAGGACTAAATGTCATGTTTAAGTATCAACACATATCTCAAGTCATACCGAAAGTGCTAAGTCCTGTCACCACGGTGACAGACTTCTTCTTGCCGCGGGCAGCCCGGGAGACACAGATACGCTTGGGCACGTCCTCCTTCTTCTTGACGCGTAGCAGTCCCTTGCCGCCGCGCTTCTGGCGCTTCTTGTCGTCATCCGTGCCGTCGGCGGCAGCTGCCTCCTCCTCGATCTTCAGACGCTCAAAGTCATCCGGCATGTGGCGCTCCAGCCAGTCCTTGCACTTCTCGTACTCCGGATAGTACTCGCAGTACTGGGGATCGAGTATAAATGCAGGATATTCGATATATGTATGTAAGTTTTTCGGATCCGGATTGCTTACCTCAATGGGCATCGTGCAGTGGCCGCAATACTTCATCTGGATCGGATAGGTGACGCCATCGCGCGGACCCACCTGCAGGCGGTCTGCGACGCTGTGGGTGCCCACGTCCTCGTTCGTCATTGCGGATCGGATTGACTGGCAAGGATGTCTGCTTTAAACTATTGTAATAATACAGAGACGAGAATTGCAGAACACAGATGATTTTCGCACAGCACACCTCGCAGCCAGTGTTGCAAGTCGCCGGTTTTTGACTTGGTGCAGAGAATTTATTGAAATGAACAGCTAGCTAAAGATACCGCAAATATACCATACAAAATGGAGTTGATATATTTATCTTTCTTAAATTGAAATTAAATTATTTTGATTTTTTTAAGAACAAAAATTGATCATATATTAATTTATATATGTGTTTTAGGTTGACTTACAAGAATTATAATTTTCGTACTACTCAAAAAATGTATGAAAGCACGGAATTTGTTTAATTTTACAATAATATAAACACTACCAATTCGATTTAATTAATTTCAAAATATTTAAAACAAATGATTTAGAAGTACTAAAAAGATAGCTGGCCACTCATAAAAATACCGCGTAGTAACCGTAAAAACGGCGCTATCCAATACTGCCCCAAAGGCGCCATACAATTTCATTTTTTTGCCGGTTGCAAGCTATTTTCCGCAAAAAGTAAGCACAGTAGGCTCTAAATTATTGTTATTCATATGGGAAAACGAATACGACAGCTTCTACAGCTCGGTCAATAAGCAACCATCACTGTTTTTCCGCAACTCCTGGTTATATTTCATAATTTGCCTGTCTTCTCCATCAGTTCGCAGCAAACTTCGTTGACACCAAAGCACAGTAAGTTACCAAATGGCCACAGACAAAACTCCAACGCATGTCGCCTCAGCGGTCCTGAAGACCAGCTCGCGATCTGCGAAAAGACTGCGCCGACGGCTCCGTCGCTTGACCTCCGCCGAGCTGAGCGAGGAGAAGTGTTCAGGTCGCCACCAGCAACATCAAATGGGCCGCAAGGGTGCTCCTTTGTGGGCCTGGGGCCTGCTCCTCATCATCTGCACAGGATTGGGGCTGTGCCTGCAGCTAAACGACGACCTGCTGGAGAGCTACAGGATCCAGTACCACTCGATTGTCCACAACCGGGAGAACTATTGCGATCGCACATCTCAGCTAAGCAAAATGGTAACGCACGTCCGCCAACACGTGCTGCACCAGGAACAGGCCTTGGAGCAGCTGGGTCAGGCGCTGGACAATAAAACCTACCAGGTGATTTGGGGGACTTTGGAAACCTGAATCCTGACTTTTCCATGCCAGCTTTAGGATATAGTTGTCCGACTTTGATAGAACTTAAAAAACATGCTAAAATAGATTAATACAAACAAAATCCCTTAAAACATTGAAGTTATGTATGTAGTTTCTGCATGTAGTTAGCCAAATGTCGATAAAACTTACAAACATAATGCCATTAATGTGCTTTAATCCCTTAAAACATTGAAGTTATGACGTTATGCCTCTTAAGTCCGATCTTTTCTGTGCCATCTATGTGTTGCAGTAGTCCGTATAGAACGATTATTAACTTTAAAGGTTGGGGCAATGGTGTAATATTGATTTTTCTAATTTTCTTCATGTCTATCACACAGATCATTGCGTTGGTGGGTTCCTCTGGCGTGGGCAAGAGCCAAACGGCGGAAGTGATGCTCGATTATTTTCCCTGGACGGAAAATGTGAAGACGCTCTCGTGGCGCGGCCCTCGATCTGTACACCGGGTGCAGAGCATGCTGGCCAACCTCGCCCTTTGCGGCCAAAATCTTATCCTGATCGACAACATGACTCCCGCGGATGGCCAGTATGTGCCGGTCATCAATGAGCTGCTAAGGGGACACGTGGAGATAGCCAATAGCACAAAGCAGCCGCACCTGATACAGTTGACCATGGTGCTCATCTTCAGCATGAATCGCCAGCAGGACGAGGATGTCTTTGAGGCTGAGTTGGAGGCGCTGAAGCAACTGCCACGCACCCATGTGATCACCTATGCCGCTCTGGAACCCATACATCTGTACGACTGCATCAGCAGGGAAGCCAGAATTGAGGAGGTGCAACTGACAGATGAAGACGTAGAGGAGATAATTAGGGGTAGTGATGCCCGGTGGTCTGGCTGCAAGTCAATTCGTTCCAAAGTTCTGCTCTACGGAAAACCAATAACCGACGATAAAATAGACATAGCAAACCCAACAGACTGATCCAAGACTCGCAACACGCAAATGTGTTCCAATGTAGGAAATATTAAAATTATAGTTAGGCCATATCAAAGACAATCCCGAAATCCACACGTGATAGAGAGAAGTTACAGTAGTTACAGTAGAAGTTCTTCAGGAAATATTGTGTATTGTAACTCCACTTATTTTAATCGTAAACTAAGTAATTTAGGCAAATGTCAATGCTAGTTCCTTTCTAATGTAAATCCAACGAAAGCTTTGCTTTTTTTTTAATGGTAAATTTTTGTGTTTCTGTAATGTAAATGATTAACAATGACTTTCTATATATTTATAATATAAATTATATAGACATAAAATAAATATGTATGCTTGTTGGCTGATAAAAAGAATTGCAGTAACATAAACTTACCAATTTAAATCACTACTCATTAAATATTAACATTCCATTTTTGAGTTCGTACCAAAAAAATGTATTTAAGATAAACATAAAATAAGCTTTATACTTGTTCTAGAAAACGCGTTAAATTATAAAAGCTTTCCTTTAAAGAATAATGGCATAACATTTTGTAAGTTTTCTTAGCTCTTGGCGCATCCCAGAAAGTATGCTACTCTTCCGGACCACGTGCTCCACTCCCACGCCATAAAAATAAGCAAATGGCCACGCGCTGTTGCTGCTGTTCTGGCTTTTGCCTTGTTTTCGCTTTATGGCCATTGCAAAGACGCTCTCCGTTATCGGGTAAATCCGGATAACGGGCGTCGTGTGGCGGCCCGATTTAATATTTTACGGCAGCCATGGCCTACAAACAGAATCGGCGAACCAAGCCCAAGTCGGTTAGGTGGGCTGGCTGTCCAGGGTCAAGTGCGTTTGATTGTTTTTATTGGCCATTCGCACTCGCTGTCCCGCAGGCGCACACGACGTATGCGTGATATAGGTGCACATGGGTGTTCCATTGAGACGACGACCCACTTCCGGACGAGTCCGGGCTCCGACCTTCCGGAATACGCCCGCCGAATGCTGATTCCTCCACTTTGTTGTTTTCAGTGTGCTCTGTTTTTATTATTTTTTTTTTTTGAGGGTGCTACGATCAGTGAATCTGAATCGCATTTTTGAGTATCTGCATCGGCAATTAAACAAAATGTGTACAAATTAATTTGACAATTAGTTAAACAATGCGAATAGCGTTGGCTAATTGGTGACCAATTAGCCGAGGGCTCTATAAATTGTTGCAGCCGCTGGGAATCTTTCAAAAACTCACGAAATGGAACAGTGGATAATAAACTGGAGTATTGGCTTGTTGTGCATTCTGCAACTCCTGCAAAGAAGTTGGGTACGTTTTATGCCTTGAGCACTTGTATATCCTTTGATTTCTTTGTAAAAAAAGTACCTTGCGAGAAACAAACTTTATTTTTATAACTTTTTAGAGCACCAACTACGAGCTAATCGTTGATGAAAAGACCATGGACATCCATTGCGATGCCGAAGATGATCAGGGAAACACACCGATTAGCCAGATCTTGGACATTAGCGACATTACCTTCAAGGTGGCCGACGACCTGGAAACCTTGTACTTCAGTGGGGACATCAAGGTGTTGATAGAAGTGCCAAGTGGTCCGATTGCCATGCAGGTCGATATGTTTCGCTGGGAACGAAGCCAATGGCTGCCAACTCCTCTTTCCTTAAAACGTGACAGCTTGTGCGATGCTTTGTCTAATCCCATGGAGATCTGGTATCCCGTCTATAGGAATGTGCCCAAGGATCAGATGATTTGTCCGCCCGAAAAGGGGGTGAGTTCAAAACGGGTTCTTAAATGCTTAAGTAGTCTTTTTAAGATTCGGTAGTTTACATAAATATTTTTCAACTACATTTTCTTTCATAATATTAGAAATATATGTTAATTTTAAAATTTTTTTGCCTACAAAATATCAAAAATTGGTGAGGACAAAACCTGTTAAAGTGATTTTTTATCAAAGGACTTATGTATTCTAATTTTTGACCATTTTCAGCACATTTACACACTGAACAACGTGAGCAACCATGCGTTTGTGAACAATATGCCTCGTGTGGACATTGCTGGCGACCTGAAGGCCGTGTTCCAGCTGAGCTCGGGGAATTTAAAGACCTGTGCCGCGGTCTTCTTCAAGGTCTACGCCAAGTGAGAAGGAAACGGGAGCCCTGACAATGGACGGAGTGGATCTCGAAGAGATCCCGCTGTTTGCCTAGTTTATAGTACGCGGTTGCTCTACTTTTATGGCCTGATTTGGAGGTGTTTGCTCGGCTTCAATGGCGCGTCCCACTGTTTATGGCTCTAACTAAATGATTTGCAAATAAAGCGAAATATTTCATATTCATGCACTCGAAACAGAATGCCAGAAATGCTTACGCTTCCATTTGTCCGTTGCTCGCTTTTTTTTTTTATTTTTGTTTTTGGTTATTTCTGGTGGCGCTGGCGATAAGCCCCTCCACTCGAAATGGGAACTTAGCCCAGTAATCCTCTTCTGGTATTTGCCAAAAGCTCAGATGCGGCGCCATCCCCAGATCACAGTCACCTCCACCATCACTTCTATATCTACGTCCAAATTCACTGAACTCATTCGCAAATGCGCGTGACGATTCCTCCGCATGTGTGATGATTTCCCCTCGCCAAACTGACTTTGCAGATCTCAGAAAATTTACAATGTTTGCGCTTTCGGGTTCACCGGGTTTTCTTATTAAATGAATTGTTAAATGCACGTGGTGTGCAATAGTCATGTGAAACATTTGTGGACTTCAAATTAAGCAACTTACTATCCTAAAATCAAGAAATAATATAACTTGTTCATGTATGTAAAATGACTTTAAGGATTTATTGGAATTTTATGGTAACTTTCAATTAAAAGCAGTTTACTTTTAAAGTAGATAGAGTTATAGAAAATAATTAATTTATGTAGTATCCTATCCTTAAATAAATCAATTAAAATGATTGGTTCCACTCTAGTTATCGCACAAATCTATGGCAATATTATAGATGATGAAATATATCAACCTGCTGGGAGTTGTTAACGCACAGTTTCCGCTTTCCATGAGATGTTATAGAATACGTATGACTCTATTTGTTTTCTGGGCTGCTATCTGTTTGCCTCGTGTTTGCAATGTCGTAATACAATAAACAAGCGATTAGCTGACGAAAGTCAACTCACAACAAACGATAAATTCAAAATATAAATGGTAATAAATCTGCACTCGACCCGGCATATTCCGTTTGTTTGCATATTTAATTTTAAGTGCTATTTAAGGTCGATTCCGCTGGATCGCTACCGACTACAGGGTACTTAAGTGTTCGATATAAATACGATTTTCTGGCCCAGCTGGCAGTATCAATATGCGATTGAGATCGATTCGATGTGATTACAATGCCTTGGACTAGACTGGACAGAATACAGTGCGTTTCGGCACTGAAAGCCCTAAAACTAAAATATTTGTTTAATTGTTCAGTTTGAACTTTAAGATTTTCATTTATTTAAAAAAGGGTACAGAACAACTAATAGCTAGCATATATTAACAATATATTATTCTATGTTCAAAATTTTTAAATACTTTCTACTATTCAAATAAAATTGTCTATGTAATTAAATTAAATAAATTTTCCTTACAAAAAAGGATTGTTTTAAAAGACTGTTTTTCAAATTCTTTTCAAAGGTAATTTTCTCTTGTTGAGAATAATTTAAAATTGCCTTACATCTAAAACGTTCTTATGTTTTCCCAACTTATAGTATATTTCCCGATAACTTTACCATCCTGCAGCCGCACTGTTTAAATGCAAATCTCAAGTCGAATGCTCATGCAAATGCAATAAAATCGGAATGCATATGCATCAATTACAATGTGTATAATAATGGTCACAGCTGATGTGAGCCGATCGAATGTGTTTGCATCATAAACACCCGTATTAACTAACCAGCAACAAACACCGCTTTGAACTGGTGTTGACCCGATCTCACCGGATTCAAAGGCTAGAACCTTATATGGGTTATGGCTAAGTCTGGACGTAAGTCCATTCCCAGGAGGTGAAAAGGCCATTTTGAACTAGAAAACATTGTGTGCAATACCTTTGAAATATTTTTAAAAATATTTTAGTTTTACTCACAGCCAAAAGTCATGATATGACCATGTTAAAAGTGCCATGCAAATGTTTTAAATCAAAACTTTCGTATTTAATCAAAACTATTTATATTTTCAGTCTGTCATTATCAGTGCACGATAATGCCTAATCTATATAACTCCCACCAATTACCAGAACACACGATTAACGTCAACATTTCGATAGAAAGAAACACGCACGCATTTTGAGTCTGATGTGCGAGTATTAATTTCTATAAAAATATATATTTGTGTTTATTTTTATAGCCTGTATATCTCCACGTGTAACTGTATCTGTATCTGTATCTGGAGCTGAAACTGAAACTGAAACTGCACCGCATCCGTTTAGCCGTATCTTTTGGATTCGTGTGGGGCATTTAATGCTTGCTAAACGCCAATCTACACTTAGGGAAAAAACGTTATAAATGTACCGAAAACGTTCCTATTTGTGTCACAAAAACAGCCCTATACCTTTTTGGTATTACCATAAGAACTTTTGGTTTTATTTTAAGAACAGATTTTTAAAACCGCTGTTCTTACTAACGGTCTAATCTTAGTAACACGTAATAGAGAAAACAATTCGTTAATGTATTTCCAGAGCTACTATTTATTTGAATAAAACGAAACGGTATAAAAATAACAACCAAAAGGAATTATTTTATAGACAAATGGTTAGGACTCGCCTTCTATGAACTAATGGTGCGAAAATTATAAATAAACGTTATTATTTGTTACAAAAATGGTCTAATAGTTTTCATTTATGAACAAATATATTGAAAACAAACTATTTCTTAATTTAACACAGAAAGGTATAAATTAATAATATGGTCTTACAAAAAATAAGAACGTCACGGTACATCATGTAAGAAATTCGGTCTTATTCGTGGGACATTCTTTTTATTTGCATTTCGTAAACTTTTTTCTTGGTTCGTTTTTTGTTCTCATATTTACTTAACTTTTGCTGTTAGTTAGTTAGTTATATAAATGGGATAAATAAAGGCGCCTAATTCATGCAATTTAGCAGGCAGGGCCAATGCGACATGCATATATTTATACAAATATATAGTAGTGGGTATCTGAACGATGTGCACACAGGGTACTTGGCTACTGTTTCGTATATAACTCTATAAACTTTGTTTGTTCGCTCGTTCTGTTTATTCGCCTATTTGCACTCCAAACTATTCTCTGGAGGGTGGCAGTGCAAATAATTAAAGCCACGGGATATATCTGTTTGCCATTACGATATTAAACAATGGAAGCTCTAGGATTAAGTTAACTATATTTAGTTTTAATAGTTCCTTACGACACGTGCTGTTTTTTTAGCCATAAAATGGAATTACTTCCTTTGTTCTCACTTAACCAAGTAGTAAGTTTATTCTTTGATTAGTAGTTAAATTTATTAAATATTTACATAACACAGGTTTGAATTCACGTTTGTGCTTGTACAACTTGTTAGCAGATACAAATATGTAAATTCGTTTGCTTTTTTGTCCGATAAAATTTGTATGTTACTTGCCATTATATTGAAAATATAGAGGCCAACAAGATTCCTTGGAAATTCCCTATCGAGGGCATTCAGCCCATTGGGTTCGCTACTCCACAATCATTTCCTGCCACCTGACGTTGCACTTTTAATTTGTCGCATGTCGTTGCCGTTACAGCTACTCTCCAAAAAACACCACTCATCCGCACCCACAACCACCCAACCACCCACTCTCATTTGATTAAATAAAGAAACAGCATTTAATCAAAATGAGAAAAGCAAACACGTAAAGTACACACTGTATGCCATTCGTTGTTCGCATTTCGTTTATTAAGCAAATAAATGAATGAGAAGAGTATTAAATTAATTAAATAAATAATATTTTCAGGAACAAATAAATAAATAACACATTTTATTGCGCAAAAAGGCAAACAAGCGAATGCTGAGACGACACGCAAGTGGAAGATTCAGTTTTCGATGGTCAAAACATGACTGGAAATGCAGCGACCATTAAATACCCATCATAAAAGTAAAATTATAAATATAAAAAAAAGAGCTCTAAAAATATAGGCACTTTTTTTTGGGGTAAAATGAAAGCTGCTACATTTTATTTCGGTCGATCAGGAATTTTGGTAAATGGACACAAGAAAATTGCCAAAAGAATCTTCATATATATTTAGAAAAATCTAGATTAGAAGGTGGTAAACGTTAGTATTTATTGCTTTTTAAGTGTCCAAAACCGGATCAAGAATAGATGTGTAGTACTTAAAACGGTCGAAAACGCTTCCTATACTCTTGCATAATAACGAAAATTCCCAGACATTTACGGATTCCGGATTGTGGAGTACGGATCACGTGACCCTGACTTGGACACGCTTCGCTGAGTTGTCTTTATTATTTGCCTAAACCATTTTCAATTAGTTGTATGCAATAATTGATAGATTAACTAAATATGGCAATCATGCAAGCGCTGATGAAGGTTCTCAGATTCGCCAGATTGCCGGATTGCTGGATTGCCCGATTGCCGGATTGCCGGATTGGCAGACTGCCTTTCGGGGGCCCGGGTAATTTGTCCGTAATTACGGCCATCACCTAATTGCCCAGCTATCATTGTGTAAACGGAACAGTGGATATAGGAAAGCCGCATGCTGGAACCCGATCGGCGATCATTTAGCCGGGCCGAGATCACTCCCCCATCATGGCTGAGTGGAGCCAGCTCAATGATCGGCCAGTTGATTGAGCAATTAGGAAGTCCAGGGAGCCCTCATCCAAATCAGGCGATGGTTTCCACATCCGCGTGAAGCAGATCGTCTTACGAATCAAAGAAATCAGTTAGATGATCCAACAAATGATATCTAATGGCTTCAAGTAAATTTAAAATGTTTTATTTGTTCACCACTGCAACAAAACAAATAAAATGTATAAAATGTTTTGGTTTATTGTAAATAACGTCAATGTTAATGTTAATGTTAATTTATTCCCTTAAGTTATTTTCCCATTAAGCTGCCATGAGAAATATTGAAATTATTAAGCCATTTATGCTATTTGTGTTCCTGATCTTTAAATTTACATTGATATTTTAATAAATTATTTAAATACCGAGCTTAAATCTGGAATTCTTCTCATTCAAACTGATCAATAAATATTTATAATGATGATTCATCCCAACATATTTAATACTAATTAAGACTTAATGAATTCTAACTCTTTTGCTCTTTTTTAATGAACTTAATTGATTAGAAACTTGTTTAAA